ATTTGGAGAAGGGCTTTATTAGACACTCAACTTCTCCAGCGGGGGCAGCCCTGTTCTTCGTTGAAAAGAAAGACTCCACCTTGCGTCCATGCATTGACTACAGAGACATGAATAAAATTACTATTAAAAACCGCTATCCATTACCTTTGATCTCTGAAATGTTGGAAATACTTCGCTCTGCCAAGATCTTTACCAAGCTTGATCTACGAGGGGCATATAACCTTGTCCGCATTCGTCAAGGAGACGAATGGAAGACTGCCTTCAGAACTAGGTATGGACATTTCGAGTCCTTGGTGATGCCGTTTGGACTTTGCAATGCCCCTGCAACATTTCAACATTTTGTCAACAATGTTTTTCGTGATCTGTTGGACCAATTTGTGATTGCCTATCTAGATGATATCCTTATCTTTTCCAATAATTGGGAGGAGCACCGCAAACATGTTTGCACAGTCTTTGAAAGATTAAGGAAGAATAGACTCTACATTAAATTGGAAAAATGTTAGTTTGAACAAACCCAGATCCAGTTCTTAGGCTATATCATTTCTCCAGAGGGCGTGAGCATGGATCCTGAGAAAATCAAAGCAGTGGTAGATTGGTCAGCACCTGGAAACGTTAAGGAAATTCAACGTTTCGTTGGGTTTGCCAACTTTTACAGAAAATTTATAAGAAACTTTTCTAAAGTGATAGCTCCAATCACACAGCTTACAAAGAAAGGGGTACCCTTTGTGTGGACCTCTGAGGCACGAGCTGCGTTTGAAAAACTAAAATCTCTTTTCACTTCTGCACCAATTTTGGTACATCCGGATCCTGAACTACCCTTTACAGTGGAAGTGGATGCCTCCAATTCTGCCGTGGGAGCGATCCTGTCTCAGCGAAGGGGTGAAAAGATCCTTGTGCCTTCTTCTCCCGTTTGATGTCCTCAGCCGAAAGAAATTACGACATTGGGAATAAAGAGCTATTGGCAATTAAGGAAGCCTTTTCTGAATGGAGGCATCTGCTAGAAGGGGCTAATCATCCTGTAACTGTTCTCGCGGACCATAAAAATCTGGAATTTATTCGTTCGGCCAAGAGATTGTATTCTAGACAAGCTCGCTGGTCTCTATTCTTTTCCAGATTTAATTTTGTTATATCATATCGACCGGGATCGAGGAATGGTAAGGCTGACCCCTTATCAAGGATGTTGTCCGAGCCTCCCCTGGAGGGCAACTCCGAATGTTCCATCCTAACACAAAAAAACTTCCTAGGGGCCACAAGTGCAAAGACGTTCTTGAGTCTTCTCAAAGAGGGGTATGAGAATGACCCACTTCTCAATGATCCTCCTAGGGACATGAACCTGGTGTATAAAAATGGCTTTTGGATTCAAGGACATCATCTTTATGTACCTGAATCTGTTCGGGTGGAAGCTCTCAAGTTGGTTCATGATTCCAAACTTGCTTGGCATTTTGGAGTTACTAAGACCGAAGAACTGTTGTCACGTTCCTTTTGGTGGCCCGGGGTACAAGAAGGATGTCAAACGCTATGTGGCCTCATGCTTGACCTGTGCACGCAATAAAACTCCCCGAGCCTCTCCTTTGGGGTTGCTTCAGCCACTCCCTGTTCCATCGAGACCATGGGGGTCTATTTCTATGGATTTTGTGGTAGATTTACCTCCCTCAAAAGAAATGACCACCATTTTGGTGGTGGTTGACCGTCTCACAAAGATGGCCCATTTTGTTCCAGTGAAGGGGGTGCCCACTGCTGAACAGACTGCAGAACTAATGGTTCGAGAAGTATTTAAACTGCATGGAATCCCTGATGATGTGGTGTCTGACAGAGGTGTGCAGTTTACTTCGAAATTTTGGAAAAGCTTTTGCTCAGCCTTGGGTGTTACAATCAATCTGTCCTCTGCTTTTCATCCCCAGTCTAATGGTCAGACTGAGAGAACTAATCAAACAATGGAGCAGTATCTTCGATGCTTTGTCACTTATCTTCAGGATGACTGGGTGGACTGTCTTCCCACTGCAGAGTTTGCATACAACAATTCTAAACATAGTTCCACCTCTCAAAGTCCCTTTTACTTAAACAACGGTTATCATCCAGTTTTTATTCCTGATCTCCCTATCACAACTCCAATTCCTGCTGTTACCAACAGACTAACTACATTGCAGGAGATTCAGGAGAAATTGATTGAGACTTTGAGGGAAGCTCAGGAATATTACAAAAAGGCTGCTGACAGACACCGGAGAGCACTTCCTACGTTTCATGTGGGGGACAAAGTTTGGTTATCAACAAATAATTTGAAGGTGCATGTGCCATCTGCTAAGTTGGGTCAAAAGTTTGTTGGTCCTTTTCAGATTTCTGCTCAGATCAACCCAGTTACCTTTCGCTTAAAACTTCCTGACAGTATGAAGATTCAACCGGTTTTTCATGTATCGCTTTTCAAACCATTTCATGAAAATCCTTTCTCTGGAAGAATTCTTCCACCTCCTCCACCTGTTGAGGTACAGGGCGAAGAAGAATATGTGGTGGAGAAGATTATTGATTTCTAGGATGTTTAGAGGAAAGTTGCAATATCTGGTCCAATGGGAAGGATATGGGCTAGAGGAAAATTCTTGGGAGCCTGAGGAAAATGTTCATGCTCCTAGACCAGTGGTCGGCAAGCCGCGGCTCGCGAGCCACATGCAGCTCTTTACACGGTTTAATGCGGCTCTTGTGTGCCGGGCGCCCGCTCCCCTCCCTCCTCTCGGGTGGCAGGGACTCTTCAGCGTGATCAAAAAAAAAAAAAAACTGCCAGGGCAGCGCGCTCAAATGCAATGATTGGCCAGTCTCGCTGCCACTCACATCCTGATAGCCAGTGATTGGCTGTCAGGATGTGTGTAGGCGGGGCAGCGTGACGAACATGAGAGGAGCTAGGCTCCTCTCACAGTCCGCACTGAAGACCGGAACAGCGCGGGAACACGGCGAGAGGAACGCGCGGAGCAAAGGTAAGTGAATTGACACGGGGGGGACTTGGCTTACTACTTGCTACTTACTTACTACTACTATATGAGGGATGAATTATTATGGGGGATGAATTACTATAGGGGGGATGAATTACTATAGGGGGGATGAATTACTATATGGGGGATGAATTACTATATGGGGGGATGAATTACTATGGGGGGATGAATTACTATATGGGGGATGAATTACTATGGGGGATGAATTACTATATGGGGGATGAATTACTATATGGGGGATGAATTACTATATGGGGGATGAATTACTATGGGGGATGAATTACTATATGGGGGATGAATTACTATGGGGGATGAATTACTATATGGGGGATTAATTACTATGGGGGATGAATTAGTATATGGGGGATGAATTAGTATATGGGGGATGGGATGAATGACTACTATGGGGGATGAATTACTATGGGGGATGAATTACTATATGGGGGATGAATTACTATGGGGGATGAATTACTATATGGGGGATGAATTACTATATGGGGGATGAATTACTATGGGGGATGAATTACTATAAAAACCTATTGAAACTAAAAACAGTGTACCATCCTATGTATTTTCAGTTTTAAAAATGTGGCTCTCAAAATAAATTTCAATCGTGGTTTTGGCGAGATTTGGCTCAGTTGAAAAAAAAGGTTGCCCACCACTGTCCTAGACTAACAAGAGAATTCCACCAGAGGTTTCCCCACAAGCCTGGTCCTAAGACATCCAGGGGACATCCTGTGAGGAAGGGCGTACTGTCAGAGCCTGGAATTGAACCTGGGCCTTCTGCGGTGAGAGACAGTGTTTCTTCTCGCTGAGCCACCTGGAATGCTTGACAATTCTTTGGATGATCCTGCCTTTTCCCTGTTTTGTCTTGAACCTTGAACTCCTTGCTCCTCCCATGAACTTCCTATAAAAGCCATGTCTCTGCACTTCCTGGTTGCCAGATTATTGTGCCTTACCAGCCAATATCCTGCTTACTGTTCCTGCTGCCGTCTTCTTCTACGTTACCGACCTTTGGCTTGCTACTGACTACGATTCTGCCTCATCCTATCTACTACCATTGGTGACCGATCCTTGGCTTGTGACTGACTCCGCTTCTGTTTGATCCCTGAACTGTTTGATCCGCTCTTGGTTTCCAGCCTACTCATTCCCTGGTGGGGTGATCCTGAGATCTGCGACCTGGCATTCACACGCAGCCAAATCCATCTCCACCATTAGGAGCTCTGGGGAAGACCGGTGGATGCTTAGACCCCGCACCTCAGGTGAGCCTGCGTCATTCCCAGGGTGGGCCGCTGCTGGTGTACCAATCCTGCTGGTTTCAGGTAAACCTTACAACTGCTGTAGCAACTGGTCTCTGAACCTGACCCAGATCGTGACAATAGCCCCGGTCGAATACCAACTACAGTGGAGAAAGTAGATTGTAGCTGCCTACAATCTCCCTCTCACATTCTGCACCTCTCATCACAGCAATAAGAGAACAATATGGCAAGTGGTTGAAGACCTGGATGTCCTTCTGGAGAAACCTAGAATGTAGGACTGCCAGAGTACAGACACTTAGCAGGAAATACGATCTTTGGTTGGTCGCTATGTGTTTTGCGTATCATTCATAAAGCTCCATGTTACATCCAGTGGTATATTTAGGTATTGTGCTCCCCTAGGCAACACAAAAATCATCTGCCCCCATGGACACCGACCAACACCACCCTCAGAGAGCCTGACATTGACCAAAAACACCAATGCCCCCCACCTGGGAGAGCCTTCCACTGTCCCCCCTGCGATAGAAGGACACTCATCTTCACAGCTCTAGACATCCCCAGGAATGAGAGTCAGGCTATACATAGACCAACAAGCAGCCTCTCTCGGATCCCACCTGGTTCCTATGGCACGCGTGTCCCTTCTTTCATCTCTTCTTCTGGGGGGGAAGTTGCTGCCCCCCTGAAAAATGCCGCCCTAGGCAAGTTCCTTGTTTGCCTTGTGGTAAATACACCCCTGGTTACACCTATCAGCAGCCATAGAGCTTACCTTCGGTTTCCCCTCCAGGCGGTCGGTAGAAGGACAGACCAAGTGAAATAATGGCTGCTATTTCCAGGATGATCAGAGTTACATCTTGTAGTGCTTCCCATACTAGCTGTAAGAAAGTTTTTGGCTTCTTTGGAGGTATGAAGTTTTTTCCATACACTTGCCGCCTCTTATCCAGATCTGCTTGTGTCCCCGGCAATCCTGCAGAGAGAGAAAAGACGGTGAACAATGGACATGGAACACACAGAAGCTCCTTGCAGTTCATTTCTGACTCTTCACGGAACTTTATCAGGACTTTACAAGTTTACACATTTTCTGACTTTTGTGAACAAAACCACTGAAGTGCAATTGCATCTCTTGCTTTTCAAGTATTTTGATCTTCAAAAAATTAAATCGGATAACATAATATACTCTCCAGCGCTCCAGGGATCAAATGCCAAAGGAAAGTCAGGGGAACCGGGACCAAAATCGCCTATGGATAGCCTTTTCGGAGATGCTGCCCTGGTCAGATAGCGAAATCAACAACCAGGGGCGGACTGACCATTTGGAAACTCAGGCACTGCCCGAGAGCCCGGGGTCAGTAGGGGGCCCCATGAGATGCCACTGGTACCTTTTTCATAAACTTTTTTGACTTTGGGAAAGGACACAGGGGCCCCATGATCCCCTATTGCCCAGGGGCCCCATGAGTTGTCAGTCTGCCCCTGTCAACAACTGGAAAAAAGAGTAGACGGGAGGCGCACACCCCTAGTGCATTATCCAAGGTTTACGTATAAGTAAAATGGATGAAAAACACACAAACATGGCATAAAAGTAAAAAGGTAACAATGGCGGGGTGTCTGACGGTCAGTGCGGTCGGGTTACTGACGAGTTTTGGGGACAAATCCCTTTCCTCAGAGCTGGGTCACTAGCCAAAACAAACCATAAAACAACGGGCGGGGGGGGGGGGGGGGAGTTTACCTTGTGAAAACTCTCTTCAGACTGAAGACCCCCCCGCCACACCCTGTCAGACCACCCCTTATAGCTCCACCCGCTCCCTCCTTACCCACTTCCCATCCAGCCCATGTAATATAAACGACTGGACGGTGGCAGTGCAGGGGCGGGTAGCTGTTTATAAATGGCCTCCCCGCACCCTGCTTGTGCGCGTTCCCTGGAAGCATGCAGCACCACGATCCGGTGCCCGCTGTGTCCTCCAGACCACAGTGGAACATCGATCGTCGGACGGGACCTCTGTGAGGTCCCGATCATGTGATCACTGATTGGCCAATCAGTGATCACATGCAGAGTAGTAAGCGAGATGTCACTTGTGACATCATTGCTTACTACATGTGAAATCTGTGAATGCTCACAGAGGTCACATGGTACAGGGCTATTCACAACAGTCTTGTACCATGTGACCAATCACAGCTCTCACAGTATTTCTCAATGGCTGCAAGAATGCAGCCAGAGAGGAGGAGAAATGATTGCTTTTACAGCCTTTATGGGTGTAAAAGCAATCAGTGTAAAAAAAAAAAAAATCTTCATCACCCCCCACAAGTAATACAGGGTCACCATGGTGACACTGTACTGCTAGGGTGACAGTATGTAAAAAAAAAAAACAAAAAACATAAATAATATAAAAAAAAGTAAAAAAAAATATTTAAAAATTATATTTTTTGGTTATAAACTAATTTGGGTTATTTTTTTTTTACTAAAAAGATAACGGAATAATTTTTGGCCAAGATTTATGATGAAATATTATTTATTTGCAAAATTTTATAAGAAAAACACTTTTTTTTCAAAATTTTGGGACTTTACATTTACATAGCAAAAAAAAATAAAAATGAATAAATACCACCAAAATAAAGCTTTATCTGTCTCACAAAAATGCTAAAAAAATTCATATGGGTACAGTGTTGCATGACCGCGCAATTGTCATTCAAAGTGCGACAGAACTGAAAGCTGAAAATTGGCCTGGACTGGAAGGGGGGGAAAGCGTCCGGACTGGAAGGGGGGGAAAGCGTCCGGACTGGAAGGGGGGGAAAGGGGACTCCCCCTTTTGCTAATGGGACTCTCGTCCCCCAACCCCCTTTAATCCCTGTCATGCCGGCCCTTCATTCGGGTCTTCTTCCTTTTCACTCCGGACCTTCCTTGAATGTCAAAGCACGTCACAGAGAACAGCACCGTCCAATCCACACTACATGTCCATCCGCAATGGGAACTCTGGACTTCTAACAGCCTAACGCGTTTCAAGGGCTTTGCCACTTCCTCAGAGCCAACCAGAAGAAGAGGCCAAGCCCTCGAAACACGTTTAGCCTGTTAGAAGTCCAGAGTTCCCATTGCGGATGGACATGTAGTGTGGATTGGACGGTGCTGTTCTCTGTGACGTGCCTTTGACATGTATGTCAGTTGTGAGTACGATGCCAATTTTTTATCATTTCAATCAATGTTTTTGATGATAATGCACTTGGCCGGCGCGCCCTCTGTTTGTTTTCTTTATATTAAGTGCATTTCGGCTACCCAAGTCTGTTGAGGGCAGCAAGGAGTGCGCATTCCAGGACACCCAAGATGTAGCCCCAGCTGAGTCCATCCCAGGGGCGGACTGACCATTTGGAAACTCGGGCACTACCCGAGGGCCCGGGGTCAGTAGGGGCCCCATGAGATGCTCCTGTTACCTTTCTCATAGGCTTTTTTGAGTTTGGGCAAGGACACAGGGGCCCCATGATCCCCTATTGCCCAGGGGCCCCATGAGTTGTCAGTCTGCCCCTGGTCCATCCCCAAGAGAAGGAGTATTTGAGTTTGCTGCTTTTCTAAGGAGAATAGATGCAGGAACTCCCCTTGTCTCCGCCCCTACCCACCTCCAAGCACCGCTCCTTGGTCCTTTGTATGGAATTTGTTAACGATAACAAGAAAAGCAGTAAAAACAGATCCCCTGCAGCCAGCAACAATAGACCCCTACCCCCAGTAATAATAGATCCCCCCCCAGAAACAATGGACCACATGCAGCAAAATACCCCCCCCCCCCAAGCAACAATATACCCCTGGCAGCAACAACAGATCTTCCTGCAGCCAGCATCAACAGTCCCTCCTGCAGTTGGCAACAATAGATTCATCCCTCAATAGTAGATCCCTTCTAGCAACAACTGACTCCCTTGCAACCTAAGACCCCCAGCAGCAATAGATCCCGACCAGCAATAATAGACCTCCCCAGCAGAAGCAGACCCCCCACAAAAATAGATCCCCTTCAGTGGCAATACATACCCCAGCAGTCAACATCAATAGACCCCCCCCTCAGGAACAGTAGATTCCCCACCAGCAACAATGGACCACCTACAGCAAAATATCCTCTCCCCAGCAACAATAGACCCCTGGCAGCCACACCAGATCTCTCTGCAGCCAGCATCTATAGTCCCTCCAGCAGTTGGCAACAACAGATCCATCCCTCAACAGTAGATCCCTTCTAGCAACAACTAACTCCCTTGCAACCTAAACCCCCCAGCAACAATAGATCCCCGACCAGCAATAATAGACCTCCCCAGCAGCAGTAGACCCCCCACAAAAATAGATCCCCTTCCGTGGCAATACATCCCCCAGCAGTCAACATCAATAGACCCCCCCAGCAACAATGGACCACCTGCAGCAAAATACCCCCCCACGCAACAATAGACCCCTGGCAGCAACAACAGATCTCCCTGCAGCCAGCATCAATAGTCCCTCCAGCAGTTAGCAACAATAGATCCATCCCTCAACAGTAGATCCCTTCTAGCAACAACTGACTTCCTTGAAACATAAGACCCCCAGCAACAATAGATCCCCAACCAGCAATAATAGACTTCCCCAGCAACAGTAGACCCCCCCAAAAAATAGACCCCCTTCAGTGAGAATACATCCCCCAGCAGTCAGCATCAATAGCCCCCCACAGCAACAATTGACCACCTGCAGAAAACTATCCCCCCAAGCAACAATAGACCCCTGGCAGCAACAACAGATCTCACTGCAGCCAGCATCTATAGTCCCTCCAGTAGTTGGCAACAACCGATCCATCCCTCAACAGTAGATCCCTTGTAGCAACAACTGACTTCCTTGAAACCTAAGACCCCCAGCAACAATAGATCCCCAACCAGCAATAATAGACCTCCCCAGCAGCAGTAGACCCCTTGCCATTGCATACATTCAGTGCTGGAGGGGCGGGAACTGCATTCCCCCGCTTTACCATTTTAGGTTCTATAGTCTTCTTTGTGGGGGGCATATTGTGAGGAAGATCTCTCCAATTGTGAAACAGAATTTTCGTGCCCCCCCCCCCCCCCGCCTTTTTTTGCGCCTTTTCTCATCTAAACAGAATCAAGGACCATGTGGAGTTCACCGGTCAAGGAGTGGCTCCTTGACTGGTGAATTCCACATGCTCCTTTCCTCTTTGACGCTATCTGAACCACATAGATTTCCTTTGTGGGGGGGGGGGGTATTGTGAGGAAGATTTCTCCAGTCGTGAAACATATAATTTTCACCCCCCTTTTTTGCGTCTTTCCTCATCTAAAAACAGAGGAAAGGACCATGTGGTTTTCACCGGTCAAGGAGCCACTCTTTGACCGGTGAACAGCGCGTGCTACTTTCTGCTTTGACGATATCTGAACCACATAGATTTCTTTGTGGGGGGGATATTGTGAGGAACATTTCTCCAATTTTGAAACATACAATTTTTGTGCCCCACCCCTTTTTTGTGTCTTTTCTCATCTAAACAGGCTATCCCAATGTCTGCCTGTGGTGGCTCTTGGGTGACATGGAGTCCCTTTCTTTTTTTCCATCTGAAAAGGGGCGCTTGGGTGTGGTGGCATTCGGTCATGTTGTTTCCAATAGATTATTATCTCTATACTCAACTGTGGGGTGGAGGATTATAACTTTTTTTTTTCTATGATTAACTCGGATGGACTTTTGTATTTTTTCAGCCAGACTAACTATGTAACTATATATTTCATTGAATATATCATATTGTATACAGAGTCTCCTCTGAAGAAGGAGCTGTTGTCCCGAAACGCGTCGGATATTCAGTATAGAGTCCCTGCTTATATAAAAAATTGTTATGTGTTGTTCGGTAACAATACTGCATGGATAACAATGTAAAATATCATGTTTTATACTTTTTAGATACTATTATATTAAAGACTATTTTGTGATTTTTTTTTTTTTAACACTGTTTCTATATTTGCCCACAAAGTCCCATACAATAGCGGGTACCGTATT